GCATGGTTAGTAGCTGGAACGCACTGGATCACATAGATGAAGCCCCCCTGAGTTCTGGGGCGGGAGGGGGCGTGGCGGTGCCATTAATGTCAATGGCACTGCAGACACGCCTCCGCGCCCGCAGTGCGATCGCCTGTACCAGAACGCATGGCACGGCATGCACTATTTTTTGCAATCGCACCAGACCGAAACGTGGGCATTACAGTACCGCGCATTCTGGTGTGGGCAATCGCACTGCGGGCGGGGAGGGGGGCGTGGGTGCCATTGACTTGAATGGCACTGCCACTCACCCTCCCGTCCCAGAACTCAGGGGGGCTTCCACTACATGATCCGATGCGTTCTAGAACGCACTAGAGATGGTGTAAACCGGCCCTTTGGAGGAACCAATCTCTGAAAGTCGTGTCTGAAAAAAGTCAGAGGTCAAAGGACTAATCATAAGCATTGCCTGTGTTCTCTGTGCAGCTGATCTTTCCCCATTACTGATCAAACTGCTTTTTCTACGGAGACAGTCGTCTTGCTTTGCTTTCTCATGTCAGAGCCTCCAGCAAGGAGAAGAGTGAGCAGCAAAGTAGTGACATCACCAAATATCACTCCAACCCTCCTGAGAGTAGCAGTCAAAGGCAGCAGTGTCTTAGATCTCACACTGCAGATAAGAGGCTGTAGACATAAGAGTGCCTAGGCACAGTCACATACCACAACACGCACACACTTTTTGAATTCAGATCCACCTCTGTCAGGGGATTCTGCTGCCTTTGTCTACCAGAAGAGATTTCCCTTTTATGTCCTACAGGAAGTGAAAATCTTTCAAGCATTAAAGGAAAATCCCCTCTTGGCTGTCAGCTGAATGGAAATCCCCATCAAAAGATTACCTTTTTATTTGTGACGGCAACAGTCATCAGGACAAATAGAGAGGGTGGATATCCCCAGCGAGGGCACAGACAGAAATAAAAACCGCTCAGGGGCTACAACTTTTTTTAGGGCTGCAACAACTAATCGATTATAATCGATAATGAGAATCGCTGACAACGATTCTCATCATCAATTAGTTGATTTTCAATCAGTTGCTGCCACTCTGCTCCTCCGTTCTCCTCCCCGCTGGTTCTGGCTGCAGCAGTCTGTGTCCCTTTTAATCCCTGCTGCTCTCCCCGTCTGTATCGGCAGAGGCGGTGGGGACACATACCACTGCAACCCGCACCAGCGGGGAGGAGAGACCGCTGTGACTGCATCCCCCCTCCGCTGCTGCCCTGATCCTTCTCTGCCCCCCGGTGCCTCCACGTGTCTTCTCTTTTACAATTCACATTTTAAATCCATGAACCTAATTAAAATGTCTAATATAATACATACAATGATTTATTATTGTGTAAAACTGCATGAGCTGCTTTGCCATACATTTCAATGGATCCCAAATGCACCTCCCGTCCGCAGTGTGATCGCCCGCTCTGGAACATGCGATACTGCAATACCCTGCGTTCCAGTGTAGTGCAATTTTTACCAAAAAAATTTGCATTCCGCTGTATTCTGAAGTCAACTTTATGTATTTGTGCATTTTATTCATTTTTATTTTATCCGATCAAAAGTTAATAATCGGCTAATTGATTTTTTTTTATAGTTTTTGGATAAAGTGAGAAAGAGTTACTCTTTTTAACTGTATTCAAAAACTATCAAATATTTTTATTTTTTTAAAACATAGTGTTGTCTGTAGATACACTTTAATGAATAACTCATGACTGTTTGGGTCTGTGCTTCGATCCCATGATTGCCAGTGATTCTTTACAAAGCATGCAGCATGTGATCCATCTGTCAATCCCACTCACTCCAATCATGACAGTCAGAAGGCAGATGTGAAAACATGGCACTAGTTGCTGTAGACAGATGTCACAGCCACATTTCTGTACACTTCATGCATAGCAAGTGACACTTGTAAGGGTGTAAGGCCTGCCATGTGACTTCTGTACTCCCCCCCGGTGCCCACTGTTCTGCACGGGAAATAACAGGGCACATTCCTATATGTTTGCCTTAGAGCTGTCACGGGCGAAGCCAGCAAAGGAGTCCAGGGAAACATGACAGCTTCCACGGTACACGAGATGAGGTCTCGCAGAACACAATGCTGGGCACAGCACAAGCTGACCGGGCACGGGAACACACTCACCTCTGCCGGACTCCAGTTACCCGCTCCCAAAAAATGCTATCACTCCAGGCCACCGTACCATTGACTGTGCCACTGCCCAGGGAACGCCCTTCGAGGAGTTGCCCAGCGACGAAACTCAGCAAACAGCCTGGGCAGGGAAGAGAGACAAGGTTGCGAACCAATCAAAAGGTACGAGGCGTAAAACTGGGCGTGGACAGCAAGAGGCAGGACGAAGGACAGCGATTGATAAGGAAACGGACCAATTATCTGCAGAAGGCGGGGCCGTGAATCCCATGTGGCTGCTGTTTTGGGGATGGGGGAAGGGTGAGCAGAGGGTGTTGGAAACAAGGTGAAAGGTGACAGGAGTGGGCGGGGTTTCTTAGAAGTGCAGTGTAAGCCTAGCAGCATTATGTGTACTGGTGTATATATGTGAGAACACGTAGGTACATTCTAAAGATATGCGACCTCTCTGTGACTGATTCATGTCACTGTATATAGGTGTATAACACAGCTCTCTGAGCCCATATACCAGTAGAATGTTTCTTAAAGGGAAAGTCCCGTTTTAGAAAAAGTAATAATTGTACACTTCTTTATAAAAGAAAAAAAATTAGCATTTTGTTTTTTTTTCTGCATTGGAGCCATTAAAGCTTTACAACCGCGTTCAGTGGATCACTGGTGCAATGTTCTGGCTCTTGCAGACTCTTCCTGCAGGAAGAATGAATAGACTACAAGTGCTGTGACATCACTACACTTGTACTTCACTTATAAGAACTACAAGTCCCTCTGTCATAGTGGCTAAATTCACAGACCCTGTCAAAGGATCTGTGAATGGACGACACAGCTGTATAGACCGAGCCATGCACAGCGGTGTCAAATTCAATAAAGAGCAGCAACCTACAGGGAGAAGAACTCTGTGATTCAGGTAAGTGGGGAGATGGGGTAGGGGGGTTGTCAATGTGACCCTGAATATGGGGGTAGCATGAAACATGGTTAAAAAATTGAAGGTAGCCTTTAACCCCTTCCCTGCCAGCAACCACACTGGCTGTAGGTTATACCAAGAACACGGCCCCTGATGTCTCCATAAAGAGGATCTGTCACATTATATTTGCTATTACATAGGGGACTTGTTGGCCCCCTATGCAATGGCAATAAAGCTGAGTGTAAAAAAAAATTGTAAAAATTAAAGTAACATAGAAAAATGAAAAAAAATATATTTTTTTAAAGGAGAACTATGGGGTCAGGGCTTTTCCCCATAGTTCTCCTTAGGGTAACGGGAGGACACAAACTAGCGTCCTCCTGTCACCCTAGGCTCAGTATACCGCGAGCTATAGCGATGTTTGGATCTCCCCAGCTGCGTGAGTGACAGCTGGCTCTGCCTATCTAGAGGCAGAGCCAGCTGTACCCGCCCCCTCCCCCGTCCGTTCCGCCAGTCAGCGATGATTGCTAAAGGAGGGGGATCTAATGTGAAGGGGGCTTATGATGTGTAGGGGTTAGACTCTGAGATGAAGGGGGAAACTCCACATCATTTGTTTTTCCAGGGTCCCCCCATAAAATTCATACAAAAC